TGAGTGACATGCATGTTGTTTTTCATTGGGAGATGCTTGGCAGTGTTTTCATTTTGCTTGCATGGAGTTTTGGAGCCTGTCTCATGCCATATGGCATATTAAGCACAATAAAGATGTTCATTTGGCAGCTGGAGCATGACTAGGAACATCAAAAGAGTCATATATGCATCAATAAATGAAGAACTCTGCCTTCATGTAAATAAATATTAGATCATTGTTTTAATTGCCCATTGAGTTCTTGTCAATGAGACACAAACACTAGTCACGTCTGGTGTAGCGTTACCAAAATTTTAGTTTTGGTAATAGGCTATAATTTTAGGCTATAGCTGAACAGTTACTATCATTAATTTTTTTTCACTTCTGTAGCACCAAACATGAATCATTTTGTTGCAAGTGCTGTACAGACACAGAGCAAACAAGTGGTTACAAGAGCTTACAATCTAGTTAAACTCCTTCAGCTCTAACACAAAGTGGGTGTGCAGGAGGACATGGGAGGTTTTAGTGTGTATGGCCATTCTTATCAGGTTCACATTCGTCCAATCTGTTATAATGCAGCTGAGTAGTATGAATAATGTCAGTTATCCCCCTCATGGCTTTCCTCACACCTCATCTCTGCGACAAATGCATGAACATCATAAACATCATCATACATCATAAGGATCATATGTCATCATGGTTGCCAAGCAGCGAAGTGTTATATATTGGGAGACCACCTTCTCATTTTAGGCAGATTGCCAGACGGTTTGATCTCTTCTCTCCATGAAGCTTGGTAGACTCCTTAGAGCATGCGCTATCCATCCAACTGACATAGATTTTGGTAACTACTTTTATTTTTTTTGGTATCTGGGGATTGCTTAAATACTAATCTGAAAAGATCTTATTGGAAGAACTCTTTGTAATGGGATGTTTTATTTCTGAAAAGAGACATCCGTGCCTTCTTCTTGAAACCTGGCACTTTTGATTGTTTAGATAGCTTCTCAGTGGAACAGTCTGAGCTGTTTTCTGTTTTCTTGCGTGTGCTTGTTCGTCTTGTATTCAGTTCTCAGTCCCATGCCCAAATTTCCTTGGGAAAGAGAGTTCAGTGTCTTGGGAGAGAGTTCAGTGTCGAGGACTCAGCTGGATGAATAAGCTGTGTAGTGAAAAACAGTGGTTAGTTCACTGCATTTTTGTAGGTTTTTTTTTTTTTTTCCTTGAATGAACCCGACATATATAAGCCTAACATAGACCTGAAAGGACAGGGAAATCAATTGAATCTAGAACTTCTATGTGTGGAAAAGACTTCAAGGTGCTGCCTAGTCCATCCTCTTGTCTTGAAGCAGGATCAGGTACTGAGATTGGCCTTGAGTGATTTTGGATAAGCTGGTATTTGATTAACCTCGTGTTAAACCCCTGCAATGGTAGGTATTCAGCATGTCCTCAGCACCCCCTTTTAATGGTTAGCTGGAAAACTTTCTTCAATAACCTTCTGAACCTTCCCACAACTGATACCCACAAAATCCTGTCTAGTTTCTTGTTATACTGTTTAGTGCTTGGAGGACATGAGGAGTAATTAATTAATCAGTCTTTATAGTTTTTACATAGAGATTTGTACACGGGGTTTGTGTACAAAGCAAGTTTTCTTCACCAGAGAATAAGAACTAAAAATCCTATTTGCCCTATATTTAACGGGCTATGTTTTTTTAGAGCATCGGAAATGTGTAGGTTTGTTTAAGAAGTAGATGTAGTGCCACAGGTAGGAAATCTGAGTAAGCTGATGAAGCTGAAACTCTTCAGATCTCTCCTGAGTGCCTGGCAGGGCAGGAAAGTGTGGTCAGCGCCAGGGCCAGATCCTTAGGCTACGTAGCTGCTACTGGAGCCTGGTACAGGCAGCTCAAGTACTGTAAATTTTGGGTATCTGCATTGGCTTTTCCCCAGAAGCCACATGAGTTTAAGGAAGCAAACGTTCCCAGTGAGGGGCATCGTGAGAATGACTGGGAATGCAATGCAATCTCATGCGATGTTCCCTGGTCATCCCAGTCCAGGAGACATCATCATTCTGATAAAGCTCACATTTGCCCCTAACTACATACCTAAGGATGTAGGATTTTACCTAAGGCTACAGTTCTCCTCAACTCTCTTAACAATTGGCTTCAGTTTCATCTCTGTTGGCCCTTGGTCCGAATAATCTTCAATGTTCTCTATCCTTATGATCACCTCATCTCCTTCCACCCACTTCTAATTTCTCTCTTAGAGCCTTTTCATTTTCCTTCCTTCTCTTTGCTATTAACCTCATCAAATACTCTTGTTTCTGTGGTGGAATTGGGAATTGAAAGCATCAGTGCTTTTGGATGAGATACGGCAAGAAAACAGTTTCCCTCTTTCAAACAGCTCTGCTTCTGCCCTTGTTGGAAAAAGTTGCAGGGTTTCATAAAGCAAGGTCAATAGATGAGCAAAATATGAAAGGTCTAAAAGTGTCAAATTCATAACTCCAAGGGAATATAGAATATAGATCCAAGTACTTCTGATTCCACGTATCGCATCTGCATGTAGTCTTTGAATTTCTGCAATGCATGCAGATGGCAGCAATGCAGGAATCTCAAGGTTTGTGAATGCTGAGCAGCAAGGTAGGAGAAGTGTACTCCCAGCCAGCTTCTCCCCTCTTTTTGAAGCACAACACAGCGTAGCTTCTTTTTGAGTGTGACCTGTAGTGTTTGGCTGGGTAATGCCATAGCTCTGAACTATGACATTTGTTTTTAAGTGATTACTTTATCATAGTTTTGTTAGGCCTTTCTTTTAATTTTTTTTTTTTTTTTAGTTTTTACTCCTGACATAATTAATTTCTCAGAGAGTGATGCCAAATTTTTCCAGTTGTAAGCTATTAATCACCAGCAGTTTTTGACTATGAGAAGCACATATTTATTCAATATAACAAGGTACCTTTCTAAGACCCTGTTTCATTGTTTTGGTTTTAAAGGGAGGAAAAGAATAAGTTAAAGGAGAATCTACTCACAATTCATCAAGGCTGCAATCTATACAGTGATTACTATAGAGAATTTTAACTTCCCACATTTGTGGTGACAGGAAAAATTTGTCTTTTTTGTGGGTTGATAGCTTTAGGAGATTGCAATGAATCTGTTAAAATGCCTGTCATATCACCAACATAAATTGCAACGGGTGGTTTTATGCCAGGGAGGCCTTGCTAACAGAGAGCCTTCCATCAAAATCCTACCGTGAGCACAAGAGCCTTTCTGCAAGCGGTTCCTGCTCTTGGAGAGCAGCGTGGACACCAGCAGTCTGAGCGCTGTGAAATTGTTTTAAACTGCTACTGAACCCATATTCTGTGTTTTTCCCCCCTGCTTCTACTGCAGTATAAGACTTTGCAAGCAGGGGTCTGTGACATGACAGACCGAGATAGGTTTGTCTGGAGGGACTGGAGTATCTGAGGGGAAAGAGCTTTTTGTTTCTTTTTTATTTACAATCCCTCTTGCTTTCAGCCAAATTCAATGAAACGGCAAACGAGCTGATGAAATTCTGGTTTGTTATCCCACTGTGAATCCAAGGATAGTTCTCTTGCCCTCAAGAAAAGCAGAGGAAATGAGAGCAGTTTTTAGTTAAAAATATGTAAGCAAGCCTAAAACTTGTGCAGAAGCAGATCCTTCAGGTGCTGGGATAATTTTTATGTAAGAGACTGTGGTGACACATAGAGTTTGGACTCAGTAAGAGGATAGTCAGGCATAAATTCATAGGATCGCAACTTTGTTCTTTTAAAATTCCACCTCAGGATCCTAATGCCTTTGTCGATATATAGGGTGTGGGAATATGTAAGCAAGCCTAAAACTTGTGCAGAAGCAGATCCTTCAGGTGCTGGGATAATTTTTATGTAAGAGACTGTGGTGACACATAGAGTTTGGACTCAGTAAGAGGATAGTCAGGCATAAATTCATAGGATCGCAACTTTGTTCTTTTAAAATTCCACCTCAGGATCCTAATGCCTTTGTCGATATATAGGGTGTGGGGGTGCTGGCAGCGGGGGCTGCAGGGCCTCTGTGAGGAGGGGCGGGGCTGCCCTGTGCTGGGCAGAGCCGGTTCCAGCTGGTTCCGGGCGGTTCCAGGCGGTTCCGCAGCTGCCCCACCACAGGGCACAGCTGAGCCCCTCAGCGATGCTGGTGGTGCCTCTGTGGAAGCGTGTTTAAGAAAGGGGCAAGACGCTGCCTTGCTGGGGTCGAGGGGTGAGGGGAAAAAGTGTGAGCGAGCAGTGTGAGCCCCAGGGGCAGAGGAGGAGGAGGAAGGGCTCCAGGCTCTGGAGCAGGGATTCCATGCAGCTCCTGGAAGACCCCACACAGGAGCAGGTGGGTATGTCCTGAAGGAAGCTGCAGTCTGCGGAGGGGACTCGTGCTGGAGCAGGGGAAAATTGTGAGGAGGAAGGAGCCGCAGAGAGGATCTTCCGTGTAAAGTGAAACAGGATTATTGGCAGCTATTGTTTAATTAAAAGTTCTCATAATCCTTAGCTGTACTGATAGTGCAGCTCATGTGCTACATCACAATCCTGGTAGTTATGTAACACTTTTGCAGTAGACAAAGTTGAGTATTCTGTAAACAACCAATTCCAAGCATAAAGATTTAAGGGATATCTCAAACCACTTGACCAGCAGAAGAGCCATTAGTGATCCCAGGTTATGATGAGGATAACAAGGTCTCCACTGCTACTGCCCAATTTGTGGAACTAGGTGTGCGTTTGATTTGAGTGATCACGGAATGTTCATGTCCAAAGTGTTTAGTTTATCTCCTGCCTCCCCAATTAGCATGGTCAAAACCTCTTCATCCTTCTGAAAGTGCATATTCATAAGATTTGTCTGTGAATTATGGTCACACAAATACAAAGCTGCTTTGAAAGTTTTTCCCTTTAGATCAGGAGATATTTCTTCCTGAGATCTGTAGACAAGCCAATAACATAAAAATGTTTGAAGTCTGTGTTCAGACTTTTAATTGTGTTTTTTTTCTTTCTTTTTTTTTCCCCCCAGTGGAATTTGATGACTGCAAGGGGAATAACAAATTGAACTTCGAAGTTTCTAACCCAGACTTTAAGGTGGAACGCGACGGGGCTTTAGTTGCGCTAAAGAATGTATCAGAAGCTATCAGAGCCTTGTTTGTCCATGCGCGGTCTGAGCATGCTGAAGATATGGCAGAAATTTTGATGGTTGGAGCAAATGAAAAACATGGTGCATTAAAGGTAAGATAAATACAAAGGACTAGAAGAAAGTGCCAAAGATGCTGCTGGATATTTACATGTGCCATCTAGGACTGTAATCAGTTTTAATCTGTTAGTAGAGAGATCAGAATCAGTCTTCAGTCCAGATATTGCTGAAGCATTTTAGCACTTAGTTTAACTTAAAATACAAATTTTCCAGGTTTTGAATGATATATTACATCTTCATGTGTAAATGCTGAACATTCATAAAGAATTTATTCACATGAAAGAGCTCAATTATCAAAATAGGCTGGTTCTTCTGGTGTACATTATGCTGGATAACCACAGTTTGGCTATAACTGAAAATGGAAAATCATAGTCTAAGCATGTAATTTAGAATTTACAGAACCTTCACGTTCGTTCCAGGTCTAAGAACATGGGAATGAATTCTATGCTGTGGAATTTAAATTTTCATATAAGTCTGCTTATCTTATACTGTTATACGTTAAACTACATAAACATACTCACGCGAACAGCAACACATAGTTATACTTTGTCTGTCTCTGTGGACTAGTGATTTTTGTTCCGCTCTGGCCACTGAATGCTGTGTCCTTTCTTTTCCACTTCTGAATTTCAGTATAATACTAACCTTGTACTATGGGGAAAAAGTGCTTCACAAATTGATTGAATTGTTTACTTCACACCCATGAAAGCAACAGAAGGAAATGTGAGATAGCCTTCATTTCTGTGTCATGGCATTTAGGAGAGAGGCAGGCAAGACAGTGGCTTACTAGACAGTTAAGCCTGGTACCTTTACAGACCTATAATTTCAAGAACGTATAAAGAAGCCATGATAAAAATGACTGATATATTGTCTTATTTTGGTATTTAGACTTTCAGTTGCCAGCATTCTCATTATATTTCCAACAGTAGCTTAGCATAACTTAAGTCTTCCATTAAAAAAAAAAAAAAATATTAGCTTTAGGGAAAAGGTTGAGCAAACTTCTGAAAGTCTGTGGCTGAGGAAAGGTTTTGATCTGCACTTTAATCAGCACACGATGTGAATATAGATTGCCAATGGGAGAGAAAGTACCAGAATGTGTAACTGCAGAGAGCTGATCAGAACGCTTAAATGGAATTTAATTTTATTTAAGTACTCTGTTTCTTCACAAAGTTAAATTTTAACAAGGTCATACTTGAGAGTGTCTCTTACGTGGTGCAGCTGTGAATTTAGGACCATGCACTGCCGAATTCAGAGTAGGAAAACTACACTTGCAGGAGCTGGGCACTTGTCTGTCTTGTGTCTCAAACTAGCAAGGCATGCTCCTTCTGGTGCATTCACAAGAATGTTCAAATGGTTTTGTTTTCACTCCAGGTTTTGAAATCTTAGGAGCAGTTTCAAAATGGGGCTTCTCATTCTCCAGTTAGAAGTTACTGAAACCACAGGGGAATTTGAGACATCTCTGACAGGAGGTCTGGAGTTAAACTTCAGGGGATTGGTTTATGTGTGAAGATCTGACTCTCCGAGAATCATATTCTGAAGTTTTATTCTGGTTTTCTTAGAGAAGCAGCCCTTCAATATCTTTGAGGGGAGATACTCTATGGAATTTACAATTTGGGGAAATCTTGTCTCATGAATAGGAATTAACAGATGTGTATTTGAACTGACTATGACATACTTTGTCAGTGACCTTTTCTCTTTATGTCCTGTTCACGTTCTGGGTAGTCTCCCCTCAAAATGTTCCAGCAATATTAATTAATGCCTAGTGTTGAAATCTATCACCAGACTACATTCAAAAGGCAAGTCTAATTTGGCGTCACTCCTGGATTCTGTTCCAATCACTTTGTGTTGCTTCAGAGAAAGAAAAACAGTCTAAATCTGGCATATTCTGCCCCTTGCCAGTCTTCCCTTTATAGATGACTCCTCAAAGCAATAGCATAGCATCATCTCTACCTGCATTCACCACTTCTTTATGGATTTTGATACTCAGCTCATAACTAGAAGATTACCCTTTTAGTATGGTGATCCTTGGTGTCTGCAGTGCCATTGGGAACTACATGATGCATTAATGTGTCCTGGGAAATCCATCTAGTGAGGATCATCCTCTTCTTCAATGGAATATAAAGGTCTTTGGGGTTCGCTGTCCCACTCTGGACTCAGCCAGCACTCTGTAGCTGTTAAATCAATGTTTTTTACCAACCGTTTCAGCTATTGTTTGCCTATTTTAAACACAACACAGACAGTCTTGTCTTTCTGTTTGTCATACTTGAGAAGGATATAAAGATTACAGCGTCCTATCTAAAGTGATTTTATGATAAATTTGAACTTAATCCTGTACTTTTACAGTCTGAATGTGTCAGCATGGAAACAGCAGAACTGCTCCATCTGTTTATGCAAGGAGTCTTGGCTAAGAAATGCTCAGATGGAGCCTTAATAATTCAGCATAATTCTGTAGGGTTAAGATGAGCACACACTAGAGCACTGCTTAGCATTCAGTACTTAGTGTACAGTACCTTGTTTAATTAGGGGATAAGTAGTTCTTGAGTATTTCCCTACTGCCAGCAACTGCCTTTTCTTTTCTGAAAGCATGTAACCTACATCTGTGAAATCCCATTGTTAATGTTTCTAATTGCAGATTCCCAACATGTTTGGAAATGACTGACAGCAGTGATCTCTAATGTGCTGACTGGCACTCTGAGCCTGGGAAGAGATAGCGTAATTCCTAAAACTTTGTGATTGCTATCAGTCATACTTAGCCAAATATTGAAAATATTTAGAGGTAAAATCTGGAGTGCACAGAAAAGCTTTTGGTATTCTAATGGTGGAGGGGTGTATGTGGGAAGATTCCAGTGGCCTCACTGGTCAGTCCTAAGTGATTAACTGAAACTAACTTCATGGCCATAGTATAGTCAGTGGCTGTTAGAATACCACTTACTATTTAACTCTGCTTTTCGAGTCTGAAGCACATGTTTTCTTACTCTTCTGCCAGAAGCATATTAGATCTGCAGAGCCTGCAGCTTTCTATCAAAGGGTCGCCATGACTACAATATGAGAAGATAGATGGTTCCTCAACATCATCAGGCAACTTGGCTGTTGCTCTCTGATCACGCAATCTTTTGCAGGGTCTAGTGACAGAAGAGCAGATACAGCATTGCTGCTTCTCCAGATGTCTGGATGTTTCTGCAAAATACCCTAAAACCAATGAACATCTGTGCCTACAGATCTGCATACATGTTACTGAGAGCAAAAGTCTGTACATTAGATTACAGCTACATTGCTTTCTACAACCTGCTGTTAGTGCCCCTTTCCTCCTGTGGTTTTGGCTAGATATATTCGTTTCTGTCTGTATTCACGAAAAAGCTACTGTCATTTTTGAGAGGCATGTGGAATACAAGTGCGCAGAAGAGTTGCCATTACAGTTATGGAAGGTGTAACATTACAGTTATCTTTTTAATAGTTATGCGTGTGTACACACTTGTACCCTTAGGCAATCAGAGTGCTCAATGAAAAAAATGAAGTTCACTTGCATTCACTACCATGGGGTAGTGCTGGTGAGGCATGCACATCTATGCTTGTGCTGTGCTTTGTCCAACATTTGCTTAATATCTTTTCACACAGTCAGGACTTGAGGGCTTGGTGTTATTAAAAAAGGACATGGAAATGTTTTGATTCACCCAGGATTCCCAAAATGAACTTTGGTCTCATTCTGAATAATTCATAGAGTCGCTAAGATTCAGATCCCTAATGGAAAAATAAATCAATCGCAAACTCTAGTTGGGAACAAACTGACCGAGCCGATGAGTGGCAATAATTATTTTTTTAACTTATGACTTATCCAGTGCTTGGTCCTTGCTTTGTTTTGTGGAAATAGTAGGACAATTGAAAGTTGGAAATTTCTTCACATTTGAGCAGACATTAATGGATTTATTTATTTAAAGAGCTGGTTTTGTGGAAGATAGAAAGTAGAGCCAATCTTTTGTAGTCTCATAACAAATTGTGAGTTGCAAAATGCAGCAAGCTGGGAATTGAACTGTGTCCTCCAAGGCTAAATAAAATGGTTGTCTGCTAGTCCTTCTCCCCCTCTGTAATTTAGTCCTGGTTTTAATGAATATACCCTTAATACACTGGGAGCTAAAAGAAAACCTTGGGAAACAATCTTTCTCTGCCTTTTTTTTGTATGTTGGCAAAATGCAGCCTTTTTTTTTTTCTGCAGCAAAGGGAGTTATTTGGAACTTCTATTTGTTACAGCATCACAGATACAGGTGAGGTGTTGGGGGGGAGTGAGATATCAAGAGTCTGGTACCAAAGTGGATAAGAGGGCAGGGAGATATTCAGAAATTCCAGACTGGTAGTAACATCAATGTATGGTGCTCAGCAGTCTTTCATACAGAGGGATGAAATGATTAAATAGAAACTCTCAAACCCTCAGGACACTTTTCAGGCATTAGATGGAAAAGAAGAGATAAGAGGGAGGAGCACACCCTGAGACAGCATGTTGCAGACAAAGAAAGTTTAAAATAATCTCCAGCGGTAGCTCAGATTGAAGGAAATGAAGTTGCTCTAGTCCTGCTATTCTGTCCAGTCCCCTTGTAACAGCTAGGGGCTAGTCAGGTACGCTGCTTCTACTTTTCCCTTTGTCAAACCATTGATTTTCCCAGCATCAGTACCCTTCTATGTTTATTATAGCAGGGACAGGAGAGGCAGCCTGGTTGAAAACTTCCTCAGCTGCTTTGCAGATCTGAATTGTGTTTCCTACGAAGTCACTGCCTGGATGTATATGTTTGTGCAAGTTGCTTTACGCCTGTGCCTGTTTCCTAAAGTATCAAACAGAAATAATGAAACTAAGCTCCTTGGATTTAAACGTTAACATTTCTTGTTTGTGTCTTACTCTCTGCTTTATAACTGCAGGATAGAGATTGCAATTTTATTGATATGAGATAAAAAGTGCCTAGAGCCTTAAATCCTACATGTATGGCTTTCTGCCTTAGAACAGATGATAAAGGATCAATAATCTTATTATGATCAGGATTCTCTCACAGAA